ATGCCTGCTGGCTCCTGGATGGGTCAGACTTTCCTAAAAAAGCCGGCTCCTAAAAAAAAAATCTGTGGCTCCTGGATTGGACAGCCGGCTCCTACAAAAATCTGTGGCTCCTGGATCGGACAGCCGGCTCCTAAAAAAATCTGTGGCTCCTGGATTGGACAGCCGGCTCCTAAAAAACTCTGTGGCTCCTGGATCGGACAGCCGGCTCCTAAAAAAAATCTGTGGCTCCTGGATTGGTCAGACTGTCTCACAGCAGCAGCCTATCCACCTTCATTCGCTCTACTGAATGAGGCCTAACATCAGAGGTGGCCACCCCTGGCCCCTGTGCTATGTTTTAACTACAAATTCCAGCATGCCTCTACCTCTGGGGGCCATGCCTGTGCCTGGCAGAAACTTGCAATGCCTCATGGGACTTGTAGTTCCACAGCAGCTGGAAAGCCGGAGTTGCCCACCCCTGGTCTAGGTCAATGCACTCTACATAAAGCTAGACAGATACATGTGCACCGAGGGATACAACAACTCCGAGCTCTATGCAGGCGGCCGGAGGACAAAGCATACGCCGACCACACACCAGGAGTGAAAACCTAGTCATAGAGGACATGGTCCGTGGTTTCCAGGAGCACTGTGGGGCTTACACAATATTAGAGACTGCACTGCACTCTGGTGGGTCTGCAGTGAGACGTCAGGAGAGCACAACCAATCTACATCCCTCTCTAACCAGATCCGGCATAATGTATGTAATGAGCACGCCGCCATCCTTATATAGAACTGAACACTGTACATATCATTATTAGCTTTCACTTTTCTGGCTTGTAGTTCTGCAGCAGCTGGGGGGCCACAGCGGCACACCCCTGAAACCCAGCCTGCACCCCAACTGAACCTTCAGCTTAAATCAGCCAAATACATTCCCGGTGTAACCAAACACAAGTTCCGCAATGTCTCACGGATGGTTCTCTTTAGAAAGCAGCCACAGCCTGAGTAGACAAGCCAGCCCGCTGCCAGCTCCCTGCAGAGAAGAACCCTTCCTATGTGTGGAAGCAGCGGCCTCTCTGCAGAGGTCAGACATGACCCCCGCTGAGCTAAAATCTCAATACAATGTACTAGGGATGCGCCCATACCGAGTACCGATATTTCCTTTTCTGTCCTCGCCAATACTGGAAGACCCGTTAAGGAAGGCGGGCGGCGTGTAAAGACTCGCCACCCGGCTTCCTGATTAGCCGGAAGCCATCTCCATGCTCCCTCGTCAGCAGGCAACGAGGAAACATGTAGCTGGCCAATCAGGAAAGTGGGGGGCAGGTAATGACTCACCGCCTGGCTTCCTGATTGGCCAATCAGGAAGCTGGGCAGCGGGTCATCACACGGCGCCCGACTTCCTTATTGGTTGTGACGAGGGAGCATGGAGCTGGCTTCCCGGCAAGAGAGCTGGGCGACGGCTCATTACACGGCGCCCGGCTTCCTGACCAATCAGGAAACCAGGTGGTGAGTCATTACATGGCGCTCCGGCTTCCTGATTGGCCAGAAAGCCGGCTCGGTGCCAATCAGAAAGCTGGGGGGCTAGCCATTGGCCGGGAAGCCAGCTCCACGATCCCTGGTGACAAGGAAGCATGGAGCTGGCTTCCTGGCCAATCAGCCGGGCAGTGCGTGATGACTCGCCACCCGGCTTCCTGATACCAAAAGTTCCAGCACCATCGCAGGCATCAGGAGCATTTGGCCGAACGCGAGTACTCGCCAAATACTCGGGATTGGTGCATCCCTACAAATCAGTACACTGAACATGAGATTGTAGTCCATCCCGGGAGCGAGCTTGGAGCGGTGACTACTATACAACACACACAGGGACCATAGGGAACACAAGTAGCCCCCCTGCACAAGGAAGGACAGTGTCAGAGATGATTGGAGGATCTCCAGCCGAGTGACACCAATAAGATACATTGCTGTTCAGCGTTCAGAATACATTTTTAAAGATTGACCTCCTGACCTTGGCGTCACTTTACAACTCTGACCTTTGAACCGTAAATATACTTTCACCCACACTAGATTACGTCCTGCAATGGTTCCTCATTGGCCGGACCGGTCGCGGTGAGCCGTCTGCCCGCCAGCAGGTGACGGGGATTTCTGTGTAATCCCCCGGAAATCTGCGGCGCGCTACTTGTGCCCTGGAGCCCGGTACGCGGAGCTTGGAAACGCCGCGTCCACAAAACAAAATGCACGGCGCGATCTGTGCCCCGAGGTAGATGCCAAAATGTATACAGGCGTGGACAAATTTGTGGGTACCCTTACGCCTCAGGGAAATAATGCGTCATTCCTCCTGAGCGGCGATGAGATAAAAGCAATGGTCTCGTGTGTAGTAGGGGTGAACGTGGGCGGTACGGACCCGAGGCCACACCCCCAATCATCTGCAGGCCACATCAAGTCAATGCCACTGACCAAGTACAGCCATGTGACCATATAAGGGCAATGACATCACAGCATCCCGCCCCCTGGCTTACGTGCAGCTGTGTGTGGGGATTCCCTGGCCGCAGCTGATTGGGTGGCAGCGGAAGGAGCTTCCCCCTGCGTGCAGAGGAGCTCAGGCCCAGTCTGAGGCTGTGCTCATCCCCCATGTACTCCACCAGACCTCTGAAGGTATATACGCGCATTGCACATACGGTAGTGGTACACACGCATTGCACATACGGTAGCGGTACACACGCATTGCACATACGGTAGCGGTACACACGCATTGCACATACGGTAGCGGTACACACGCATTGTATTGTGTGGTATAGTAATGTACACAGACACGGTATATGGAGGTGACATGGTGTCAGTATAGTATTGGTGTACACAGACACGGTATATGGGGGTGACATGGTGTCAGTATAGTATTGGTGTACACAGACATGGTATATGGGGGTGACATGGTGTCAGTATAGTAATGTACACAGACATGGTATATGCAGGTGACATGGTGTCAGTATAGTAATGTACACAGACACGGTATATGGGGGTGACATGGTGTCAGTATAGTATTGGTGTACACAGACACGGTATATGGGGTTGACATGGTTACAGTACATTGGTGTATACAGGACAGTAGCAATGTACACAGACACGGTATAGGAAAGTGTCATGGTGTCATCCCCCTCCCCCACCCCCCAGGCCTCAGCCTGGCCTCCACCGTATGTCGCTCACCTAGCCGTGGCGGAGTCCAGGCTCTGGTCCAGCATGTCCATGTGTCAGGGTTCGGGCAGGGAGGCCCCCCGGCCGGGGTGGGTTAGGCTGCT